AACACGACAAAAACTCAAGTTGACTCAAAACTTGATTCTCAAGTATAACAATTTCCACAATCTCAAGTTCAAAAAACACAAAAACTCAAGTTCACCAAACATGCCAAATCAAGTTCAAAATCACCACAAACTCAAGATCAAACATGACACAAACTCAAGTTCAAAAACAACAAAGACTCAAGTTCAACCAACACCTGATTCTCAAGTTTAACCATTTCCACAACCTCAAGTTCAAAAACAACAGAAACTCAAGATCAAAAATCACACAAACTCAAGTTCACAAACACGTGACTCAAGTTCAAACACGACAAAAACTCAAGTTCAAACACAACACAAACAAAATGTTAAACAAACACACAAACTCAAGTTCAAAAACGACACAAACTCAAGTTCAAACACGACACATACTCAAGTTCAACAAACACACAAACTCAAGTTCAACCAACACTTGATTCTCAAGTTTAACAATTTCCACAACCTCAAGTTCAAAAACAAAAAAAAACTCAAGTTCAAAGACAATACAAACTCAAGTTCACCAAACACGCAACTCAAGTTCAACCAACACCTGATTCTCAAGTTTAACCATTTCCACAACCTCAAGTTCAAAAACAACAGAAACTCAAGTTCAAAAAACACACAAACTCAAGTTCACCAAACACGCAACTTAAGTTCAAACACAACAGAAACTCAGGTTCAACAAACAAAAAACTCAAGGTCAAAAACACCACAAACTCAAGTTCAAACACGACAAAGAACTCAAGTTAGACTAACTCAAGTTCAAACACCTGATTCTCAAGTTTAACAATTTCCACAACCTCAAGTTCAAAAACAACAGAAACTCAAGCTCAAACACAACACAAACTCAAGTTCAAACACAACACAAACTCAAGTTCAACAAACACACAAACTCAAGTTCAAAAACGTCACAAACTCAAGTTAAAACACGACACAAACTAAAGTTCAACCACCACCCAAATCTCAAGTTTCACAATTGCCACAACCTCAAGTTCAAAAAACACACAAACTCTAGTTCAAACACAAGACAAACTCAATTCAAAAACAACACAAACTCAAGTTCAAACACACCACAAACTCAAATTCAAAAACATCACAAACTCAAGTTAAGATACGAAACAAACTAAAGTTCAAAAACAACACAAACTCAAGCTCAACCAAGACCCAATTCTCAAGTTTAATAAATTCCACACCCTCAAGTTCAAACATGACACAAACTCAAGTTTAAAATCACCACAAACTCAAGTTCAAACACGAAACAAACTCAAGTTCAAGTTCAAACACACCACAAACTCATGGTCAAACACACTACAAACTCAAGTTCAAACATGACACAAACTCAAGTTCAACAAACACCACAAACTCAAGTTCAACAAACGCCACAAACTCAAGTTCAAACATGAAACAAACACAAGTTCAAAAACACCACAAACTCACGTTCAAACACAACACAAATTAAAGTTCAAAAAACACACAGACTCAAGTTCAAAAACACTAAAAACTCAAGTTCAAACACGACACGAACTTAAGTTCAACAAACACACTAACTCAAGTTCAACCAATACCCAAATCTCAAGTTTAAAATATTTCAAAACCTCAAGTTCAAAAAACAGACAAACTCAAGTTAAACAAACAACACTAACTAAAGTTCAAACACGACACAAACTAAAGTTCAACCACCACCCAAATCTCAAGTTTCACAGTTGCCACAACCATAAGTTCAAAAGACACACAAACTCAAGTTCAAACACACGACAAACTGAAGTTTAAACACGACACAAACTTAAAATCAAAAACAAAAAAAACTCAAGTTCAACAAATACTCAATTCTCAAGTTAAATAATTTCCACAACCTCAAGTTCAAAAATATCATAAACTCAAGTTCAAAAACACCACAAACTCAAGCTCAAACACAACACAAACTCAAGTTCAAACACAACACAAACTCAAGTTCAACAAACACACAAACTCAAGTTCAAAAACACCACAAACTCAAGTTCAAACACGACACGAACTCAAGTTCAACAAACACAATAACTCAAGTTCAACCAATTCCCAAATCTCAAGTTTAAAAATTGCAACAACCTTAAATTCAAAAAACACACAAACTCAATTTCAAACACACCACAAACTCAAGTTCAAAAACACCACAAACTCAAGTTCAAACATGACGCGAACTCAAGTTCAAACACAAAACAAACTTAAGTTCAACCAACACACAAACTCAAATTCAAAAACGTCACAAACTCAAGTTAAAACACGACACAAACTAAAGTTCCACCCAAATAACCCACTCTAGCGCTATCCCGCTCCCCGCAGACCCAAGTAGGGTCACTATAGGGGAGACGGGATTCATTTCTAGCCCCAACCGTGGCCCTGGCCCTAACCCTAACCATTATGAGGGCCCTAACCCTAACCCTAGCGCCATCTAGCCCCAACCGTGGCCCTAACCCTAACCCTAACCCTAGCCCTAGCCTCGGATTCTAACCCTAACCCTAACCCTAACCCTAGCAGGGGAATAAAGGGTTAACATTACAAACTAAATACAGCCTTAAATTAAACTAAATAAAACTAAATATCCGAGAGAAAATAAGTAAATTTCTTCACCAAAGGGTATAAAAGGGAAAACAGGACAGGGAATTTTCATTTTCATTTGGATGCTGACTGGGTAAACCCCTATGAACTGGGGCCCAGCAGCTATGAAATTTATGTGTGCATAGACCTGAAGAAGACCAAACTAGGTCGAAACGTCGTCGCGATGCACACCAACTGTACATAGTTCATGTGTTGATCATGTACCTGTTTGTTTGTTTGTTTGTGTGTTTGTGTGTATAAAAACAATTAATAACCTAAAAAAAGAGATTAATTAAACAACAATCATGTTACACAACACACCAAAACTAAATTAAATACAAACCTTAAACACAAATTAGTGATCCATGGGGGCCGGGGGAGCGTGCCCAGTGGGCGAAGGCCTGTGCATTCCCCGCTCCCCGCAGACCCAAGTAGGGTCACTATAGGGGAGACGGGATTCATTCCCCTAAACCTAACCAGCCAGTGCCTCGTCCATCACGGGTGCGTTTCCTCGGTCCCCAACCTGCAAAGCCTAAATAAAGTGCTACTAATCTTAACCCTGATCCTGGCGCTCAAGCATTTCCCGCTCCCCGCAGACCCAAGTAGGGTCACTATAGGAGAGACGGGATTCATTTCTAGCCCCAACCGTGGCCCTGGCCCTAACCCTAACCATTATGAGGGCCCTAACCCTAACTCTAGCGCTATCCCGCTCCCCGCAGACCCAAGTAGGGTCACTATAGGGGAGACGGGATTCATTTCTAGCCCCAACCGTGGCCCTGGCCCTAACCCTAACCATTATGAGGGCCCTAACCCTAACCCTAGCGCCATCTAGCCCCAACCGTGGCCCTAACCCTAACCCTAACCCTATCCCTAGCCTCGGATTCTAACCCTAACCCTAACCCTAACCCTAGCAGGGGAATAAAGGGTTAACATTACAAACTAAATACAGCCTTAAATTAAACTAAATAAAACTAAATATCCGAGAGAAAATAAGTAAATTTCTTCACCAAAGGGTATAAAAGGGAAAACAGGACAGGGAATTTTCATTTTCATTTGGATGCTGACTGGGTAAACCCCTATGAACTGGGGCCCAGCAGCTACGAAATTTATGTGTGCATAGACCTGAAGAAGACCAAACTAGGTCGAAACGTCGTCGCGATGCACACCAACTGTACATTGTTCATGTGTTGATCATGTACCTGTTTGTTTGTTTGTTTGTTTGTGTGTTTGTGTGTATAAAAACAATTAATAAACTAAAAAAAGAGATTAATTAAACAACAATCATGTTACACAACACACCAAAACTAAATTAAATACAAACCTTAAACACAAATTAGTGATCCATGGGGGCCGGGGGAGCGTGCCCAGTGGGCGAAGGCCCGTGCATTCCCCGCTCCCCGCAGACCCAAGTAGGGTCACTACAGGGGAGACAGGATTATTTCCCCAAACCCTAACCCTAACCCTTTTATAGGAAAAAATCAGTGTTTTCTTTCTTTAAAACAAACAAATATATAAATAAATAAAAACATTTCCATAGCCACTACAGTATGAGTGGCTATAATCAAGGCTGGACGGAGGTCAGATACGGCCGGAGGGCCCGACGCTTCCGCCAGCAATCGTGGGACCGGAGGGACATGTCCGGATGGGGGAAGGCCAGCGCATTCCCCGCTCCTTATGGGATACGGGACAGAGTCCCCTCACCTTACCAGCCAGTGCCTCCTCCAAGACCGGCACGTTTCTACGGTCCCCAATCAAAAAGCTATGCATCTGTGGTGAGCCGCCAATTCAATCCGAGACCGGCCCCACGATTCTATAAAAATCCACCGGTTCAGCAGCATTCGGACAACATCAGGAGACAGCCAGCTGACCCGCAGTTCGGGCGGCTGGTCAGGACTATGCATAGTCTCATAAAAATAGTTCATCACTATCAAAATGTTGCTCCAAAAGCCGGGAAGGGAGAGCCCAAAATCATCTCCCGGATGGTCGAAGTGCTAGCTACGATGATCAAGCCCGCAGTTCCCACCCAGCGAACTATGGAGTTCATTAAGGGGAATGCAGAGAACTGGGGCTACAACACAGTGACCATTCTGATGGATCACTATAAGGAGAGTTTGGATGTGGTCTTGGGGGAACTTGAGGGAATTTTGATTCCACGGTGGAAGGATGCCTTTGAAGTGGCGGTACGTTGGGCAAAACGAAACCTGCCCCGGATCACAGCAGATGTTATCGATCACGCAGAGGCCCTTATCACAGAGAGAGCTGAGGCCCTTTTGACAGAGAGAACAGAGGTTAGAGAGGAAGCACCCCAACCTACTGTTCAAAAGAACATAACGTTGCAGTCATTCAGGGGAACTAAAGATAAAAGTCACGGGCTAAACATCTAACCACCGGCCAAACAATCAGTGGCCACGATGACCGAACAGGTCCAACAGACAGACTCTGAATGGGCAAGTTCACCAAAAGAACAGAGACAGGCCCACAGAGGGAGAAAAGGGGTGGTGTTGCCTGAGGACAAAGTTTTTGTAGAGGAGGTTGAGGAGGTTGAAGAACAGCCTAGAGTCATACATGACCAGATTTTGACAAACTCACAGTTAGCCGCATTGTTTGATGAGCTAGATGCAGAAGAGGAACGGGAGAGGTTGGAGGCTAGAGCAGCTAGGGAACCCCCTAAAGAGTCAGAGAAACAAACCTCAACCCCAAACCAAACAGAGGTTCAGGTTCAGGTTTTGAGAGACGCATTTCCTGAGCCAGATGAGGTTGAGGCTTTGGGACCGGAAGATCCAGGCCCAGATGTGGACGATGGGGATGTCTTTCAAGACTCATCGGACAGATTTTTGAGTCCAGAACCAGAGCGTTTTAATGTGAACTGTCACAGTAATACCCCAAAAAAACTAACTGAATGGGATTTGGTCGTGGACAAAAAGTATCTGATCATTGGGGACTCTAACTTGCAAAGCATACCACATTATTTTAACAAAAATCTGCAGATTGACAGTTTTCCAGAGAGCCATTTTCGCCATGCACAGGTCCTTATGGACAAAAGAGCACCTCAACAAGATGATGTGGTGGTTGAAAAAGTAGTTCTGGCATTTGGAATCAATGGTAGACAAAACAAAAGTGATACAACAGTTAAAAGTGTGCAAGGAGCTATCCGATCTACCAAGAGGAGGTTTCCTTATGCACAAGTGTGGGTCCCTTTGATCAACTTTTCATCAGCCCTCCCCAGGGATGAAAAGGAAAACTTAGAGAGTCTTAATGGCCATATTAAAAAGAATATGTGTTTTATTCCCCCGTTGCCAGAAGAAAAGTTTGAAACAACGGTGGACGATATTCATTGGACATCAGAGACTGGGGCAGCCATGTTTGACCACTGGACGGCCTTTTTAAACTTAAGCGCCCCTTAAGTCTAGAAAAAGAGGGGGTCACAGGACATCGATCCTTTTCAGGACAGAATGTTATTGTGTTAGCCAAAAACTTTAGTCTTTCTAGACCCCAACGTGACCTGTTGAGTAAGGGATTAACATTTATACCAACATTGAACATAGGCAGGGAACAAAAGGAGCAGCTACAGATGGATATGCAAACTTACCATTGTAAAATCAAATTGACAGCATTCTTTCAAAATTCAAAGACAAAACAGATTAAACCCTTTATGGGGACCTCAAAATGGTCTCCTCCATTAGAATCGTTACCCCTTGAGATTAAAAATTTAATTTATGAAGATTCGGACACATTTAAAAAGCACAAACAAGTCAAAGAGAAATGCAATTTATTTCCACAAGAAATCGAAGCATTAAGGGAATTAAAAAATACAAAACATATAGTGATTAAGCCGGCTGATAAGGGGACAGCCATTGTCATTTTGGACAGGGAACAATATATTCTGGAAGTCGAGAGACAATTAAATGACGCCAATTACTATAAAAAATTAGAGAAACCCATCTTTTGGGACACGATCCCTGTAGTTGATAAAATTTTAAATTCATTAAAAGACAAAAAATTCATAAATAAGAAACAATACAATTATTTAAAAGGGGATTCAGAACCCAGGGAAAGAAGATTTTATATCCTCCCGAAAATTCACAAAGAACCTGAAAAGTGGACGATTCCCTTTGAGTTACCTCCCAGAAGGCCAATAGTCTCGGATTGTGGGAGTGACACATATCATACAGCAGAGTTTTTGGATTACTATTTGAATCCGCTCTCAATAAAACATCCTGCCTATGTTAAAGATACTTACCATTTCATGGAGATAGTCAGGAGCTTGAGGATCCCTTCCAATTCTTATTTGTTTACTATGGATGTAAATAGTTTGTACACTAACATTGATATTGAGGCTGGTTTAAGGTCCATAAAAAATGCTTTTGCTCAATATCCTGATACCAAAAGACCAGACAAAGAATTATTACAACTGTTGGAAATTAATTTAACCAGAAACGATTTTATGTTCAATGGACAATTTTATTTGCAGATTAAGGGAACTGCCATGGGGAAAAGATTTGCCCCAGCATATGCCAACATTTTTATGGCTCAGTGGGAAAAGGAAGTGTTGAGCAAATGTGAGAAAAAACCGACACATTATCTAAGATATCTGGACGATATATGGGGAATTTGGGAGGGATCGGAGAGGGAATTTGAAGGATTTTCAGACATTTTGAATTCCCACGATCCATCGATTCATCTCAAAGCTGAGATTAATCAGGAATCAATTAATTTTTTAGACACAACAGTTTTCAAAGGACCAGATTTTGAAAATACACACCAACTAGAGTTTAAAGTCAGTTTCAAAAGTACAGATACACATGCTTTATTACACAAAAATAGTTTTCATCCAAAACATACCTTTCGGGGTCTCGTTAAATCGCAAATCCTTCAATTTAAACGGATTTGTTCACAGGAAAAACATTTTAAGGAAGCAACCAACATTCTTTTTGAGGCTCTACGTAAAAGAGGATATTCGAGATCCTTTTTACGGACAAGTTTGAAATAGTTTCTTGTGCGCAGAGATAAAGATCAGAGAGAATTAATTCCACTCATTACTACGTATAGTTCAACAGGCAAAAATCTGAACAACAGGTGGAAAAACAATTTTCAAAATATTATTCAAAAAATCAACATGTTTCCAAATTCTAGGGTAATTTCAGCGTACAGAAGGAACAAAAATTTGAGAGATATTTTAGTTAAAGCCAAATTACCATCTTTAACAACAGAAAAGCCGCTAATGTTAAACGAGCAATTTTCCCGTTTAAAATTTATTAAAAACAATAAGGACAAAACAATTGTACATATTTCACAGGGCTTTAGCCCAAGATCTAAAAATTGCATTTATGTATTGTACTGTAGTCAATGTAATCTAAAATATGTTGGAGAAACCAAAAATACTTTGTCTACGCACATGACGCAACATAGATACAACATAAAGAACAAGAAGGAACAAGATACACCGGTGGTGAAACACTTTTTATTACATGGATGGAGTTCGGTGAGGATAGCTGGTTTGGAGAGAAATATTCTTTGGTCAGACTGGGAACGGAAGAGGGCAGAAAGGAGATGGATCTATTGGTTGGGGACTAGAGAACCATTTGGCCTAAATAAAAAATTGAACTAACCAACTAGCCCTGGCCCCGACCCTAACCCTAACCCTAACCCTAACCCTAACCCTAGCCCTAACCCTAACCCTAGCTCTGGCCCTAACCCGAACCCTAACCCTAGCCCTAACCCTAACCCTAACCCTAGTCCTGGCCCTAACCCTAACCCTAGCCCTAACCCTAGCCCTAACCCTAACCCTAGCTCTGGCCCTAACCCTAACCCTAACCCTAGCCCTAACCCTAACCCAACCCTAACCCTAGCCCTAACCCTAACCCAACCCTAACCCTAGCCCTAACCCTAACCCTAGCCCTAACCCTAACCCTAACCCTAGGACAGTTAAAAATTAAATATATTAATTTTAAATAAATAATACATAAATAAATAAATACATTTTAATAAATACATGGGATATAGATCATTATTATATAGTAAAGGGTTAAAAGTAATAAATAGTTAAGGGGTTAAAATTTAAAATTTAAAAAGGGCACATGATAATTTTTACAAAAATAACAAAATTCATTGTATTTATTCGCCAGAGACTATAAAAGGGAGAAGTGGGTTGGGCTTAATCATTTCCATGCAGACTCTTGATGAGACAACATCTTGAGCATTACCAGCCAGCAGCTTTTGTTTGACCATTCAAGTCACAGTTTTTTTTGTTTCTTTCTTTGTTGTGTGCCAAGAGACCTGAGGAAGACCCACAGGGGGTCGAAACATTGTCGTGGGCACACATTTTTGATTGTAAATAGTTTATTTTGAAGAAAAAAAGTTAAAAAAGACCAAAAAAATCGAAAAATATTAAAAAACTAAAAAAACTTTAAAAACATCAAAAAATATTTAAAAACATTTAAAAACAGTTTGAAATTCATTTTATTTTACATTTTTATTAAAAACAATCAGCATTTTATTTTAAGAAAAGTTAAAAGTTTAAAGTTTCCTTTGTTTTTTCAGATAGGTTTCCTTTTATAGGAAAAAATCAGTGTTTTCTTTCTTTAAAACAAACAAATATATAAATAAATAAAAACATTTCCATAGCCACTACAGTATGAGTGGCTATAATCAAGGCTGGACGGAGGTCAGATACGGCCGGAGGGCCCGACGCTTCCGCCAGCAATCGTGGGACCGGAGGGACATGTCCGGATGGGGGAAGGCCAGCGCATTCCCCGCTCCTTATGGGAGACGGGACAGAGTCCCCTCACCTAACCCTAAATGTAACCCTAACCCCTAACCCCTAACCCTAACCCTAACCCCTAACCCTAACCCTAACCCCTAACCCTAACCCTAACCCTAACCTTTACTTTTATAGGGTTAGTGAGGTTAGTATTAGGGTATAGGGTTAGGGTTAGGGTTAGATTTAGGGTTAGGGTTAGGATTAGAGGGAGGGTTAGGGTTAGGGTTATAGGGTTATAGGGTTAGGGTTAGGGTTAGGGTTAGATTTAGGGTTAGGGTTAGGGTTAGGGTTACATTTAGGGTTAGGGTTAGGGTTACGATTAGGGTTAAAGGGTTATGGTTAGGGTTAGATTTAGGGTTAGGATTAGAGGGAGGGTTAGGGTTAGGATTAGGGTTAGGGTTAGATTTAGGGTTACGGTTAGGGTTAGATTTAGGGTTAGGGTTAGGATTAGGATTAGAGGGAGGGTTAGGGTTAGGATTAGGGTTAGGGTTAGATTTAGGGTTAGGGTTAGGATTAGGGTTAGGGTTAGGATTAGGGTTAGGGTTAGATTTAGGGTTAGGATTAGAGGGAGGGGTTAGGGTTAGGGTTAGAGGGAGAGGTCAGGGTTAGGGGTTAGGGTTAGGTTTACATTTAGGGTTAGGGTTATGGGGAGGGGTTAGGGTTAGATTTAGGGTTTAGAGGTTAGGGTTAGAGGGAGGGGTTAGCGTTTAGAGGTTAGGGGTAGGGGTTACTGTTAGGGTTAGGGTTAGAAGAAGGGGTTAGGGTTTAGAGGTTAGGGTTAGGGTGAGGGTTGGTGTTAGGGCTATTTAGAAGAGTTTAAATCCATCACGGAATATGACACTTCAGATTGTCTTGACTCTGGTCCCTGTTAAAGGAAGCAAAGCTATGGTTAAAAGTAATGAAACTAAAACATATGTTTTTTTCTTGAAGGTTTGAAAAATAAAAGTTCTAATATTGTAAGTGACGAAGTGGGTAAGGTTAATTTTTTTTTTTAAATAATATGTTATAGTCGAGAGTGAAGAGTTCTGTCTGGAATTTTGTCACTCCGGCCTGCCTAGGACTCTGCTAAACTCCCTTATGCTGTAACCTGAAACTATTTTACATTAAATCGGAAAGGTTATTTATAAATTACTATTTCAGAGTCAAAAGTGGACAGTTCTGTCTAGAACCCCTTCCACTCCGGCCTGCCTAGGCCTTGGAACCTGCTAAACTCCCTAATGCTGTGACCTAAAATAATTTTGGATTAAATCAGAAAAATTAGTTAAAAATTATTTCAGAATCAAAGGTGGACACATCCGTCTAGAACCCCTTCCACTCCGGCCTGCCTGGGCCTTGGACCCTGCTAAAGCCTAAACTAAAACTAAAGGGTTAGGGCCAGGTCGGGTTAGCAGTTAGGGATAAGATTAGATCTAGGATTAAGGTTAGGATTATGATTAGACCCAAACTGAGTTTAATGACCAGACCTAGGGTTTTGTTAAAACCTAAGGTGAGTGTCAAATCTGTAGAACTTAAGACTTTGGGTCAGAAATTCTACATGTCAGTAGTTAAAAAGATTTGAAATTACCACCATAGATAGTACTTTCAAGTACTATGGTTATGGTTATGGTTTATATTAGAGCTGGGTTTGGGTTACACCTAGGGATA